GAAAAGGGAAAGAAGAAACGAGAGAAAAAGGAAAATGAGAAAGATTTGGTACAAAAGTTTCTTCGACAAAATTAAGGATCGAGGAATCCCTACGATTGGTGTTTTACATTTAAGGAAAATCCGCTACTGTTGCTTTGATTCTTGCTTTCCAGCGACTGTTTTGGCATGTCGCCATAACATGCGTCTAAAAATTCTGCCATCGAGAGTATATCATCGTTAAAACTAATCTACTTGCCAACGACACTCATCTAAATTTGAAGACAGATCGTTATAGAGCTATCTCGCGTCGAGTCCCGCGGCCAGAATGTTTATGACAATTAATGTTTAAAATCCGACTCGACAACGAGCCGGGAGGATTCGTCTCGTTTACAAGCGAACCTACAAAAATTGGAGGAACAATACCGATCGAACGACAGAAGTGAAGAGGAATGACGAGTTACTCGATCGTTTCACTGTGGTATTCTTCGGTATTCAAAAATTTCGCTACATTCCAATCCCGGCACACGTCCATATCGATCGAATGCGTTACGTTAAAATTGTCTCGACCGATGCACCCCTCAAATATCAAGTTAGCAACATGTAGCAAATACGTCCCAACAGCGTAACTTCTTTTGATGTAACGAACAAGACGACTTCGGTCTAATACCGTTTGTACTTTTCGATGCCACGTATCGCATCAACATTGCGTGCGATTCTACGGTACAATTTTTAGGCCATCGATAGCGATTCGCTGTTGAACGAGATCGTCATGCCAGTAGTATCGTGTAAATGAGATCGGCGAAGGATGGAGAAGGATCGATTGATTCCTAACAATATCAATAACGACGTTGTATAGCATTAATAGAGAGTATAGATAGTAGGTAGGTAAACGCTAAACGAAGCTCAGTTGATTGTTTCGGGAGCGAGCACCTCACTCGTTTTCACGTATAATGTCATTTCGCTAACTTATACTTGTAAAATTAATTCGAAGGAGCGAGGTGTGTATGCGTGTATGCGTGTGCAACTGCGGAAGTCACATTGCTGTTTCCTTTACTCACACTCTCTCCACCTTTCTTGCAAACTTTCCACCATCGTCAACCATCGCTCATTACTCCATCGCTCGAGACACAGTTTTCATCAGTCTTCCGATATGACTTACCCTCATGCGGGAAAAGAGCTGCGAGCCACGTGAATCGATTGAACCCGGGCTTGCTCGTCTTCCTTGTCGAATCAAAGATACATCGGTATTTTATATTTTATGAGCTTCGAAGAGTTTTCAGCTACTTTCCCACATTGTTAGTTTCACGACTTTTCATCGACGTCTCCGATGGCGGAGTTCGAGAGGATGACCATCTTGTTACGATTTCGGGGATTTGATTCTATTCTTCGACGAAGACTTCCGGCAGCTGGATAGCTTCTTGTCCGATCCATGGCCATCGAACTAATTCTTCGACGTCAGGATTGTCACAAATTCTGTGAACACATCGTGTCTTTGCGAGCGAGACGATTTCGTAGACGATAAAATTGAATTCATTTCAAAAGTCGATGATTTTATGATGAGTCATGCGATATATTACGAATATAGTTTGTGACCATCGAATTATATTTTCTGGATACAATAGGCTATACATGCATACACGTACTACGTTAGATAAATGGCAGACTTGTCTTTGATTAAATATTTGCTAAGTAGATTTAGCTAGATACGGTAGAAAACGAGTATGAATAGCTTGTTAATATCGAAGCAGAATAAATTACCTTCATAGTTCACCATTCCGTCGCCATCCAAATCCGCTTCTTTGATCATATCATCCACTTCTTCCTCCGATAATTTTTCTCCAAGATTCGTCATTACGTGTCGCAACTCCTTCGATGAGATCAGGCCGTCGTTGTTTTTGTCGAATACTCTGAGACACACAAGTTTCACTCTTAATATTCACATAGGCCTACAAGAGTATTTTCAACCTTCTAGAACTTTGAAATACCTGAATGCCTCGCGTAATTCGTCTTCTCCATCGGCACCCTTCATCTTTTTTGACATCATCTGCAGGAACTCGTTGAACTCGATGGTACCATTGCCATCTTGATCCACTTCGTTCACCATATCTCGTAATTCTGTTTCTATAAAATCAGAAATCGGTCAAATATAGTTAATAAGTTTCGCGAACGTTCTTTTGATACCAAGAAGTTATCTCGTTGAAAAATTTAAAATAATTGCTGATATTCTCAGCATGATGGAATAAGCATATTATGAAAAGTAATCTATGTCCAAGCTTATCATCGAATAAAAATCAAGTGATTCTACGAGAACTAGTTTTATTAAGGTTTCAGGATTTCACGATTTAGATACAATTCTTCTGTAATATAATTATAACTTATAGCAGTTACGCAATATGACGAAGAACGGTTTGTTAGAAAAGTTGAGCAATTCCAGAGTAACCTTTTGTTTTCTTAAAAAGAGACAAACATAGACATAGATCATTCGTGTTCTAAGCTCTTTAATTGTCGCTTAAACGCGACATGCGATTTTCTCCATGTCCTCTTTCTAATTCCTGCGTGTAATGCATTCATCGTCGTCTCGTGGAAGACATTTAATTTCCCTTGTAGATCCGGCGAGGAGCAGAGACAGAAGAACTCGACGTGTAGTTAATTACTCGCGTCTGCACGTGCGCCTAATCGTTACAGTTTCTGACTTAGGATCGGCCGAAAGGTAATTTTCCCTAAGCTCTTGTCACAGCCTAGTTTTCGGGAATTCTACCATTTAACTCTCGTCGTCTTTAGAAAACCTTCAAACTGTCGCCCGGGATATTAATTTAGCAAGAACCGCTTTCGAGAAGTTTACGCTTCAAACTCTTCGTGCCAGCTTCGCACTCGTACAATTGACAAGCGTTTAAAAACCACCTTACTATTCCTAATATTAAACGTTCATCAAGAGCTAAGTACTATTTTATAAGATATATTGCGATGATAGCGGGATATATTAGAATTAATTGTCCCTAGAGTTTTGTTCTTTTTAACATATATCGAAACATGTACCATCACGAAAAAGTATTTTATCACTGACAAGATATATTTTAACTAGAAAATTGCATACTATATTTTATGTTATGTTTTATATAAAACTAGAGGTTGTAATACACGTGCTGTACCCCACTGTGATAGAAAACTTGAAACGATACAAATGAAAGAAACTGTGAAGTGACACATGTTGCTCACACTTTGTATTTCGCTGCTCATAATGTCAAAAGAAAACAGTCATTGAATTGACTGTATAGAATTTCATGAAGCATCTTTTTGCGTTACTAGCTAATAGACAATACAGCGGTTGGGTTGGCGGTTTAGATTACCGTTATATATTTCGGCCGCGAGTGGATAGCTTTTCGTCAGTTCGTGGCTTCTAGCCAGATCGTGTCTACCTTGATACACGTGGATGGCACGTGGTTGATATTGTACCGAATATTTCCATTCTTCAAATAACGTAACGATTCACTTACCAGACGGCCTCTGTCCCAAAGATCGCATAACCACGCCAAGTTCCGCCATAGTGATAGTGCCATCTTCGTCCTTGTCAAAGAGCATGAACGCCTCCTTGAATTCTGAAGTAATAAATCGCGCGTTAATTCGTCGTTGATGAAAATTGATCGATCATCGTCTATCAAACGATCTGATCTCGATCGTTTTAACCTTCTTAATATTAAAACTGTCAGCGCAACCGAGAGATCAAGTGTCATCTTCGACGCGTTGCATTTCTCTTTAACAGATTCAGTTTGATTGAATCGAACGTTATACATGCTTTTAGTCTCGTTTTCCTACGGCACTTTCAAGATTGGAATGCATCTGGAATTCAGTTTTCAAGCACGAAAATAATTTCTCTCTCCCTGCCTCTCTCTCTCTCTTTTCCTGCGTTTTCGATGCGACGATTTCTGTAGAAATTCCAGGGGTCGTCCAACCGAGCCGTAAATAACGACGGACGAAAAACTTTGGCGGAAATTTGGCAATAAAACGATATACAACAAATGCTTTTCCCTGTCGTCGTATTGTTGAGAAATCGTGGATTTAGATGTCTATTAATCAACAGCGGTCTGTATGTGTATGTACGTGTGTATGTTCGGTCACGCGTTACAAGTCGTGCAAAGCTAGCTGAGATCGCGCGAGCTTCGGGCAAGTGGCCAGCCACGGCGAACTCGTCGGAGATGTTATAAATTTTCACAACGTCCGGACCGGGCACCGTGTGGTAAAAATGTACGCGCGACAAGAGGGTCGTGAATAGTTTACGAGTCTATGCGTTCGTTAAAGTAGTCTTGTTTGATTCATCAGCGCATCTACGCGAGACAATGCTTCCATCGCCATTGTTGCGCGTTTACCTTTTATCCGACCCATTTCGTCTATTTACTGTCCCTTTCCTTTCTCGCATTCATTCATCAAGAGAGTGTTTGCCTCTGGCTCGATACACAGCCTTTCTATCTGCAGATGACAACGGCATATCGAACTTTCACATTTTTCTAGCGGAAGTTGGAAAATCAGGAAACTCGAAGGACGTCGAGATGAAAGCAAGCGTATCGCGAAGCTAAACACGAGCGACCGTGTTCCTCGTGTTATTTCTTCTTTTTTCGCTGAATGTTTGTCAAACAACAAGCGGATTTAAAAGAGTGTCCTCGAATCTCGTGGATGTTAATGCACATCCTCGTCACCGATCAAAAAACACCTCTGTGGTTCTCTTTAGCTCGTACTCTTTTTATTTCTTAACGTCGAAATTAATTAGTTAGATTTCTTCGAAGACCAAACTTTCCACGAACAAATTTTATTCCGCGTCTCCGAATCTATCCGTTCGGGTAAAATCGTCTTCTTGTCGGTTGTATCGTGACTAGTGAGGCACCCGATATAAAAATGGACCACGAGAAAAACCACGATCGTCGTCTGACATACCGATGGAATTCAGTTTGGGAAAATGGAGTTGGTAAACGTCGGGTTCGCCGTTTAATTATAGAGCGAGCGATTGCTCCGTTAGCTGCACGATAAATCACGCGAGGAAACAAATACGTATCACGATTCATAAAAGTCCGGCAGATTATAGCTGAAGTAGGCGAGAACGTGTATGCAGCCGGCAAATAAGAGTTTCTAGACGTCGCCGTTTGATCTTATCGTTTGCCGCATAGATCGGTCTGCATTCACCTTGCGTTTATCACCACGTAAACACCGGACGATACATTAATGTGCATAAACGAGTGGGCAATTTCTCTTTCAGTCGTTTCCCAGGCGCCGCAATCAACGATATCTCGCTCGCGTGCCATCGCAAAAAATTCTAAAAGCTCCTCGTCGCCGAGGAATCAACCACAAGGCCAATGATCGCAGTCACGTGAGACCAAAATACGATCTTTTATGCAACACGTACCAGCTCGAGTGACAGGATATGTACTTACGTAAGGCTACTTTCACAAATTAGACGACCTCTTCCCGTGGCTTTATACAGTCTACCGCTCATAACTATTTGCACACTTTCGAATTACTGTGAATACGCGATTAAAGAAATTGCTACATCGTCTTCGTTTAACGCGATTTCAAAATCGCTTTAAAAGACTCCGTACACGTGTATATGACACTAGGATTAGATACAAATTTCGTTCCGCTAAAACCTTCCTTAACATTTATCCAAAAGCAAGTCGATTTCTTAATCCGAGGGAATTTGTATAATTACGTCGAACACTTAATAACGAGGATCCTTAATAATTCTTTTATAAAAGTTAATACAAATAATAGTAAAAAATAAGATTGATGAAAGGACTAAATTAGGCCCGGGGACGAAATTTGGACCCCTTGAAATATTGGAGGTGCGGAAACATACTGTCAATAGTAATTGGAACATACGAAACGAACAAGAGCAGATTTAATTCAGTCGTGACACGCGAATGTAGGCACTCCTACTATATACAGATAAACTAAACTACATTCTGATTCTACAAGAAGGTAGCAGTGCTTCCAGTTATTAATTTGCGAAAATGAGGAAAATGTGGGCATTTTCGAGAATTACGAACGACAGCATAGACGTAAAATACTTCGGCACGGATTAATTTAATAGCCGCGTCACTCCGAGGCAAGATTAAACCACGCTTTTGTATACAAGCGAGTAATTTTTCACGTTCCCTGGAACGGAAATCATCAACAGCTTCTCTAATTTGTGAAACGTCGAGTGCCGGGGAAACGCATTATGCGTGTGAAAAACTCCGTTCTACTCGTTAACGTACGGTACGTTCACAGACACTTGAATTCTCAGTTGGAAAGTTTTCGAAGCACGATATTAAACGAACGAGAATATCTCTCGCTTTCACTTTTGGTATTCAGAGGTACGAAGCGTTGAAATCATTTTACTACGCGATAAGGAAAGCGTGAATGGTAAAGTTGATACCGAAGATCCACTTACCGGCCACTTGATCCTCCGTGAGTCCATATTCAGACTGAAAAGGAAAAAAAGACACGGGGTAAGTTAAATTAGAGGATCGTCAAAGTAGTTTACGATCCGGTGGCGTTTATGTTTGATGTTAATTGAATGATTAACACGGTTTAAACTTCAGCGTAATGTCCCATCAAAACTTAATATGTACTGGTGGCTGCCGCCATCGCATGTTGTACTCCTGTTTGCAGAATCATGCCAATTTCAGTCGAAGTATCATTAATTTAATCGAATTAACGGCGGCATAGCTTCCTCCGTAGTAATTGCCGTATTGGCTTATTAATTTTTTCTCGAATCGTAGTGCGTAATGAGATCGGATTATAGAATGCCATTTGATTCGTCAAAATGTCAATCAACTGTTTAAAAGTATCAATCGAGAACTGTCGAATAGAATACAGGAAATTTCACATTCTAAGAATCATCGTACGTAACGCAATTATCAATAGGCTGCTTCAAATATAATATTAGAAATTTTATATTTCAAATGTCATCAAAAAGTAGTTCTATCCTTTTTATCTTGTTTTTTTTGGTGATAAAATCACATTTTGAAGGAATTACGTTAAAAAATGGCTGTCTTTTCTCACAAAGTCGAAATAAGGTGGTTCTCGTGACTTGAAAGTGGTTTGCTGTTTTTCTTGTCTCAAACCACTTTCATGGCTATTTTTTTCGTCCATAGTCTCCTTTCTTGCTGACTTCTTATTCTAGAAGGACTATCTTATGTGTCCTAGTATCTTATAAATAAAATAACCTATAAGAAAGAAATGATGTAAATATGAAATATTTCATAATTAGATTACTACTGGGTATCTATAATATATTTGGAATCTTACAAACACGATGTTCGGCTCATAAATATTTCACTCGTCAATTATCACGCGCAAGTAAATATATCAGCAACAACAAAAGACACAAATAAGTATGATAAAATAGTAACAAATGCGAAAAAACACGTCAAATTTACACAAAGCGTATACCGTTGAAAGATTTCGAACAGAAACAAGATAAAACGATCCTACCACATCAACGTAAGATCGACTTATGAAACACAACGTGTGCCGTACTAAAACGAATGAGTGACATAGTCGCTTATAGCCGCTTGAAAGATATTCATCTGTCAGATTTAAAAAGATAGCCCCATTCCATGTTAAGTGCACTATTCCATATTAGAAAGATTACCCCACATTTAGTCACTTTTCTCTAATGAAAGTATCTCATAGCTATAAAGCCAGCCAACAATTTTCGGTTCTTATACAGCGACTATAGTTCAAGTGGTTACGTTGCTTTTAAGCGAATGTTCGATCAAGTAAACATTGATAGGGGTAGGTATAATTCGCACAATTAACAATCCTGTCCTAACTAATGGCCTGATCTGCAGTAATACCATGCTGCTGGCTTATCCGCCTTCTACAGACGACTGTGCTCCGACATTGTTAAATCAGCATTAATAGACAGCAGATTAAGGAACATATGCCGTTAACTCGATTAGAGGGACATTGACTTAGCAGCAATTCTGCGAACCGCTATCAGCATCCGCACGTTCATTCTAGTATAAGTGACTTTGCCAATGTAAGGCGTTTATGCCCCAAATACAACTTGACAGAGACTAAGGGGTTCGCTGAACAGAATAGTCGAGAGAAATATTTCTTTGTCTGCGTGTATCCTTTGAATTATTTCCTTCGCATCGTACTTTACTCGATTCTAAACGACTTACAATTAGAATTACATTTATCAAAATATATTAAATATATAAGAATGAATTATTCTATTGATTCACGTTTACGATTATAAACGATTACAAATTAAAAAGAGAGCAATTGCAAAAAAAAAAGTGTAAAACGAGTATACATTGTTGAAAACAATTGGATGATCGTCTTCCGTGTCACTTTGACTTTTATAACAATTTCTCGAATCTGTGCATGCTTCGTTTGTTTCTCCTTAACCCCATCCCTAAGGGATTGCATCTGGACTGTGTATCTCAACAAGAAAGATCGACCGCAGTCTCATTTGAGAAATAACGCGAGTACTTAAGCAGATGAAAATGTTCGACGCGATTGCTACGTGCTGAATATAATCGCTTTACGATGCGCTCGAAGCAGAAATCCCCCGACGCTTGCGGTTGCTACGGTCGTCTTAGAAATGGTTTCCACGAACCGAACGCTAATGAAGCACGCTATAAGCAGTATGGGTCAGTTAAGCTCGGTTGTAAGTTAGCTACCGAGTGATTTACAGCTATAGTCGAATCGACGATGTTGCAATTTTCACCGAAATAAACCGTTATATTCGAAATATCCTATACAGTTTTGCCAGACAAAGTAAGATCAGCTGCTCGTTCTGTTTCGCGACATATGGTTTCGCATTAATTGAGAATTCCAGGACGAACAGGTTGTCTATTCGATATTCTGGAAACGTTCAGCGATGTCACTTCGAAATGACTTTCACGGATTACGTTCGTGGATATCCTCGGTAATCGTAAGCACTGTGGGACAGGAGAATCTGTCGAATGGACCCGTCTTAGCCGAAAGCTCTTGCTTCGATGCTTCGAAGCTCTTTCGAAGCAAATAGAGTCGGTATTCAACTGGGTCACGTCCTTTTTCAACAGTTCCGAGAGCGGTTCGCATAAACTCGTGAAAAGTCAGCTGGATTTTACGAGTGAACGTGCCTGCATTTATATATTTACCCGACTCCTTTGAATTCTGCGCCGCCGACTCTAACACGCGGCTAATAGATAACAGTTCGACAGATGCGATTTAATACCGGCAAAGATAATGCGTGTCGAATGCTAAGTTGCGACGTATCAAAAGTACATTGAACGTATCAAAAGTAAATTCAAGTATACGATCGATCAGAATAATTTTTTAACCCGGCTTCATTCTTTTCAACATTTACAATGTCGATCAAGCTCGAAGAAAATGTGATATTAAGATAATAAGTTATTCCTTTCCTGAAAACTGAACATTAATTGCGTACTTGAGCGATGAAGTTGAGAAATTTGCAAGAAGTGAAGCGGATCTTTGATTTCTGAGAGCTTCGTTATTAATATGTATTACTAGCCGTTCCAATTCCGTGTTAAAGATTTTCTTAGAATACTAATAGTTCTTTCCTCTCATTAAAATGAAAGCAAGATCGAAGCGTAATAAATTACAGGATCGCAGGGTTCAAAGAGTACTTCGAATGCAATCGTTACTCACGCTTATTTGTCGAATCTGACCATCTATAGTACTCGTCAATCTTCGCAGTTTTCCATAGGCGGTTGTGTACTTTTCTTCCGCGTCTGCCATATCGAGGACGATCACGTGCACTAATTTTACCGATTAACACGATTACAACTGGCTCTGTACAAGGCACTTTTTAAATTTACATTTGTCCCCGACAATGGACGTGTTCCGTGAACGATGTTTCGTTTTTTCAGATTCTCTAAAGAAACTCTTTAATTTCACTGGTGCCTTTTAAAATAAGAAGCGCAGAAACAAAGCCTCGCCCAAGCTTTTTCTCGTCGCACGAATAAATTTCCGTCTCTCGCTGCGAAGAGGCTGCCACGCGTCAATCGAACTAGCGCGACTACAGGACCGAACACAAATAATATTTATGGACTAGCGAGCGGTAACGTCACCGCTTGTTGGTGCCGCCGGGTCCTTCGTCTCGTCTCGAATTCATTCTGATTCTCCCCTCCCGAACGACATGTCACGTGCAATCCTACGCGAACTTAATTCTCTCCGCAGTCAACTTTTCAATACGCATCCGTGATAAATCATATTCCGAATGGCAAACGAGTGGAGTAGAGTCAAAGACCTCAAGCTGGCCATTCGTGTCAGCTCGAACGAACCACAAAACTGATACTCGTAATTATCTACGGTCGTATTATTCGAGTTAGGGTAGAGTGCGAGCTTTTCGACAACCTTCGGCTGTTTTTAACTTGTCAGTGGACTCCGACCATTGGTTGGCAGTTCTTTCCTTGTTTACTTCGCAGTCCATCCTTTTTTCTCCTTCGTCCTGTTTCGTTAATGGCAAGTTGCTCGCGTTGGTGGCACAGTCTGCCAAACGATGCGCGTTCCCGAAAACACGATTGTCGAAAATGGGGAAGGATGTATGCTCGTTCGTAGTCGCGAAGGCGAGTACCTTTACGCGCGACTCGCTTTACACCTGTTCGCGATTGCTCGACTAAAAGGACTCTAGTAACGCTGGTTGCCAATAGTAAGGCACGCCTAGTCTACTGAATCAACAATGATTTAAACGGACATCGACTGCAATTACAGAGATGGCGGCAAATATTTTGCAGGATCTAACTTTGGACGATGTTGGTCTTGCATAATCGGACTGTTACAGTATTCCGTTTGCCAATGAGAATCAAGTTTCTTGAACTCAAAATAATGCCTGCCTATTATCCACAAACGTAATCGATATTTCGTTAATATGGTATTTGTCTTTCTCCACGAAAGTATAGTTTCTCGAGGGAGAAGGTGAAAGTGTCTGATACTATTTCTGGGGCGTCGCGACGAAAAATCACGGACACCCTGACCTGCTTTGTCGCACGTGTGAATCTCTTAAAATGCAGCCGCAATGGTTATTTTTACGGACGTTCCGTATTGATACAAACACTGGCGCCCCGCGTTTGAAAATAACGATACACGAAGGCAATTTAGATAATGGAAAACTCGTTCCGCGTTCTATTCGATCGTATCTCTTGCGTCAATGAATTAACCTTTGCTTGCGACACGCGCGGATGTTAAATGACCACCTATTTCTCAATTCTATCTGCTTATAAATAAAAGAAGATCCACATACAAGATACGATAGCGTGATAGAAATACAGCTTTTTCGACACGTTTTTCTTCTACGACCTGTGCTACCATCTAATGGAGGAGGAAGGTCTAGATCAGACGCGTCTAGTAGACGACAGTCCGTTTCTACTGCACGCTGTCTAGTCGGTATTAGAGTAAAACGCGGCGCGTCCGACTACGACTACCCGTTTCTACTGCAGCTGACGCTTGCAACTAAACGCTCCGGAGAGAAATTATTCTTACTCACCAGATTTATGGTGACGATAAGGTCGTACTGCTGCCTCTGGCCCTTCTTTTTATTCTTGCCAGTCTTCACGGAAGCTGCTTTCGGCGTAACCTTAACCTGTCCCTTTTGAGCAGAGGGTTTCTGAGCTGGTTTCGCTGCAACTTTCGCACCAGGCGCCACCTTCTGCCCGGCTGTCAATGGCGCTTTTTGACCTGTCGAGCCCTTTTGATTCACATGGCCTACTCCATCTGCTGGTTTGTTGCGAGCCTATTATCGGAAATAAAACACCACTGTTAGATCTCTTGACTATCGATAACAAAGATACTTCTATTGGACGTGTACCGCGCTTTTCTTCCCACTTAAACGAATCGCTGGAATTTCGAGGGTAATCAAAGCGCAGCATCGTTCGAATTGTTCCGCTCAGTCGTACCGAACGGGAATTAAATTATCGGGAAGCGAGGTCACGCTGAAATTCATCTTCTTCTTTTTTTTTTTTTCTCGCTTTGCTCCGCGACTTTTAAACGAATGTTATTACGTGCTTATATAATTCCTCCTCCGGGTTTAATTACTCGGACGTGTGAACAACTCCCGCATCGACCTTCAACTGGACTGCAACGAGAGCAATCGCGAGAATATTCTGTGGTGAATATTCTCTTGCTGAAACAGGCGATATAATTAGAAGGATCAAAATTCTGTAGAGCATCGGCTCGAGGGACAGTCTCGAAGACGGTCGTTGGCAATTGCGTTTACTCGCGGGGAAACACTTCGTGAATTTACGAGCTCCGCCAGGACGCGGACAAAATGAACATTAGGAATTGCAAAATAACGGTTGTTTATCGAGCACACAGTTCGCTGTTATAGCCAAAAGCGAAACTGGGCCATCGCTGTTCACGAATCTCTTTTGTCCCGTTCACAAAGTTATCTCTGATGCCCTTCACCTCTCTATCTACCTTTCCGATCTGTTTATACAAAAATATGCGGACTGCCCGATCAGTCTGAATTTTTATGCGTTCGCTGAAAAATCTCTTTTCGAGACAGAACTTCTCGCGAGATGCAATCGATGCAACTTGCATATACATCAAAGTCGAACTATATGGAGCGTCTTTCGTATCACAGATCGAGCAAACCGTGATTCGTAATTATTGCAACCTTTTGTCCACATTTTACAATTAGTCGTTTAATCTGCGAACAAATCTGTCTCTCAGTCTTTCGGTGAAATGATTTAATCGAAAAAAGGTTTTCCAATACGTTCGGACAGGGATAGTTGTGGCACAGAGGTGGAAAATACGGGCGACGGCTAACGAGAAACGAGCTCTGGAATAATCGAGGAGTCTGCAATTCTCTCTGATCCGAATAAAAATTCGTTTTTTCCCGCCGAGATAAAAATCTAAAGTCTCGGGATGAACAATATCCTTAATTACCGGCAAAGAATTCGACTAAGCGTCGAGTCAACGTTTCGAGGTCGAGGTACATCCCATGCCATTGTTCTCGGATTTCTGCTAATGACACGCAATAGAACGATCCATGGTACTTTCCGAGATTTCGATCATCGTCGCCAACGAGTCTTGCCTTTAGTTTCTTGCCCGCTTTTCCACTGGGAATTAATTAGCCGACGCGTTTTCGTTTATCCGTTTGATCGCAACATCTCGATAGGAATTCATTCCTTTCGTTCCTGTTTTACGCCCTCGAATAAAGATCGCCGGCGTAACAATCGAGCCAGCAACGATTGATAAATACGTACACAGACAGAAATGATCGCCGATGGTACAATCTCGTTCGAAAAACCTTCGGGGAGACATTGCAAGAGCGATAGATCGAAAACGGATCGAATCTGTAAATCGAATATCGTCGTTATCGCGGAATAAACGGATGATAGGAGTCTGCAAACTGCCCCTTCGTTCCTGTGACGAACAATCGAGCAGATTCGAATCTCTGGAACCAAGTCGGATTCCGATGGCGCGGATGTCCGCCAGCAGAAAATAAATCGAGTTAGTTGATACAAACTGCCGATCGAGCTACGCGTAATGCCCGATCGAGGCCAAGAGGAAGAACCTTGGTCACGTTAAAAGGAAGCCGAAAAAAATCTGGGCTACACGATCATTCAGAACGAAAGGTTGAAAAACCAAAGCTGAAATAAAAATAAATGTAGAAGATTCGCCGAAGAATTCAGATATTTTTTAATAGATCGAAGAATGTGAACGATCCATAGGGACCACTTAACGAAATGAAAGGCTTAACGCTAGTTCGTCGACCGTTCGCCCAATTACTCGGTAAGGTAGGCTCAGGTATAAATATAGAGCGACTCTCAATTGGTATTGGACATTCTAAAAATATCGCCAGTTTATTCAAATAATAATTCAGTGGAGAGATGGCATGCCCTGCGTGGGTGGGACTGACAAGATAATTATAGCGTTTGCCGTCTACCGCGTTCTTACGAAAAGCACTATATCACTGGCGAGGGCAGACCGAAAAAACGCAGTAAGAACTGCACTTTGCTACCGTTTACCATACTCGACGTGAAATAATAAAGTTCCTCTCTACGATACGATGCGTCAGGTTACACTGTTACGCAACCTTTACTACAGGCTGTTATACGTCGACGAAGAACGATAATAAATATCATTGGCCGCTGAATGAATTGTACCATGAATTTTAACGAGAGGAATTTTAATCATCTTCCGGTCGATAGCACAACGTAGGTCGGATACAATTTCGTTTACTGCCCAATTTCGTTCGATCGCATAAGGCGCCAGTATCGGATAATTCTTTCGAAGAATAATTCCATGAATTCACGAGGTCTCGAGGATATTAAATTTCTTAGTAACCAGTAAAAAGAATCGGCGATATATTGCGTTGGACGATGTGGTGGTTGAATGGAAAGCAGTAGTATCATAGTCTGGAATGTTTTGAAATAGCAGCACCCCCACTTCTTTGCACTGGCTGCCGCTGTGTTCTCGGCCGCCTCCTCGCAACACGTTCGCGGTCTACGAAAATTTTATTGCTTTTTCCCTCAAAGTTTTTGGCAGGCCTTCACAACCATATAGAAAACAATCGTATAACTGTGATTTAAATAATATTTCTTGCGTTATATATCGCGTTATATATCCTACATTCTATCGCACGTAGTAAATTTTTTACAGGGAACGCTTTAACGCAAATAACACGGATAACCCTGTTTTTGATTTCAGGCAGTCTCGAGTAGTTCCATTTGATCAGAACGAATGAAATATTTTTCCTCGTAGACGCGCGTAGAAATTTTGACGTAGAGGAACGCGCAGATGATGGACATACGATCGAACACTTTAGGGTGAATGATAGACGGCCTTGAAATTAGCGGTGATTTCAATCATGTTACTTAACCGTTTACACGGCGAATCGTAGGTAGCATTATAGCAGTGAGAATTGGCGTCGTCTGTCTGCGCTGTGAGAAGCTGTGAATTTCGATAGTTCGCAGGAAGGGATGAGAGAAATTCTTCACCTCCCCTACCATGCGTTCTAGCTGAGCTTATAAAAGATATCCAGTGCGGATAAACCATTAGTGTGGAAGAACGAAGGGACACACGCATCGTGTTCAGTTTGCTTGAAACCGTCGAAGATGGTTAGTCAATTTGTTAATTTAGTGAGGGAGAAACGAAATCGCGGAACTTAGTGACGTTTGTTGCATGGGCACGCATTGATTGGAGGATTCTGTATCGAAACGGCAGAAAATCGAGCAGTTTGGCGCAACGCCAGCGATTCTATGATCGATTTTCCATATCGGAAGTAATTGACAGACAGAGAATTAAATCTCCAACGAGAAACTCTATCAAAATTCGTTCGATCGGCCTGCCGTTTCTGAAGTGAATAGGATCCAGTTAGCGAAAAGTGCTTCTCTCGTGTATCATCAACAGTGAAATTGTATCGAAACGTTATTTCTTCTTTGTTTCAGGATGACGAACAGCTGAAAAGTAAGTAAAACCGAGCAGGCGAAACTTCTCGGCCGTAACTGGCGAAAATGAAGCGGAACGGAATTCCGCTCGCACAAATAGACACTGCGCATACAGCGCCGGCATTTCGTTAAATCCCAGACGCGTCAACAAGTATGGTTTATTCGTCGAAAGAAGGTCGAGAATGTTTAAGATTTAGGTCGCAGCTGGTCTGTATTTTACATTGGCGAGGCATCGGAACTTCAAAGGACCATTTCCCCTTCCAGTGTACGGTTGTTCATTAAGATTTGTCGCTTCAACGTGGCCAGACCGGATTACGAACCTCTGCCAAATCGAATCGATTTATCGCGGCGACGACCGAACAACACCGTAGTCCATACGCGAGAATTTCTTAAAAATGTTACACCTCCTGTCTTCTCCTTTCCGCCCACGCTTTTTCCCTCGTTCTATCCACAGAGTTTCGGAACGCGTCACGGTACTACGTGGCGCTCCGATTGCGCAATCCAACTCTGTATCGCGAAATAAACCGCTGATTTACTTGGCCTCGTTATTTTAATATACGCCGTTGGCATACCGTGTAAATAAATACATCTAAGTAAATAGAAACATCGATGCCTTTCGATTACGCGTCCAGAATCTTTCAGGAGATGTGAAAGATGCCTGAAATTTTGTTCTCCACTCCCGCATTCAACATACAGTAGCTCACGGATGTAGCGTTCGTACGGTACGAACATTCGTAGAAACCTCTGATGAATTATATTACGTGTGAAATTTCATTAGCACTGCAATAAGATCTGATTACAGATCAAACAGAGTTTGAAAGCTAGAAGATATTTGCTACAAATATATTTAAAATTACACAAGTATATAAATTACCATTACATCGACAAGGGAAAATATTCAACGAAATTAATTTGTACACTTAATTTCCTACGGTAATCGTATGAATACTTTCAGCTACTGTACGCCAACAAAATAACGGCGAAGTAAACGATAAGCGATACAGAGGCAGTGATTCGTTATATTTTACAGTGCTCAGGAGAGCCTTCTCCATGTTCGATTCAACGAAGTCTGGTCGGATCGAGAAGGAAAAAGTAAGAACAATCCTCAACACCCTAGGGCACACTTTCGACGATCACGAGCTCGAGGTGCTACTCAAACAAGAAGACGAAGAAGGTACTTATATATATATCGCGATTTTACGAATTTTTACGTAACGGGCATTTGGGACGCAGCAGAAGTTCCGATTCTATTGCATTTTTCGCGAGCTTCATAGCAATTTTTGGAACGACATTGGTACTCCGCGGATCGATGCCTTCGTTCGACCGAACGGGGCCAAAT